GATATACTGTTTCCTTTGGGAATTAAGCCCTCAAAAGAGAACTATGTCAAGGACAAAGCATGAGGAGAAAGCTTAAGATATGGATCTTTAAATATGTTTATTTTCTATTTCAGAATGATTTTAACAAAGTCAGTAACGGGTTTTATATCGGATAAAATGAAGTAGCAGCTACTCAGAAATGGAACAAATAAGTCAGTGCATCATTCCAAGGTTGTCTTAAGTTACTGAGTGGTAAATGAGATTTGCCTCACACAGAATACCATGTCGCCCATTGTCACTATTTATGAATATATGGTATTCGAAAAGTCATAGTCAGATGGCAGCTGGTTGTCTTTGTGAAACTCTGTCGTTTCCAAATCTAACAGACAGTCTTTATTTCGCTTCATGGTTGGTTGGAAGTTAATAATAAGTTGTTATGACATCTTAGAAGAGTAATCTGCTCAAAACAAGGAAAGAGCTTCCTTTTGTAAAAGATTCTTACCATAAGAGCATTCCACTTGAAGAGTTAAAGCCAAAAGAACCACGAAAATCACCCGAGGTTCCATTTCTGACGACTGCAAAACCCCTGCGCTGCATAAAACCAGAAAAAAAAGAAGTTGAACTGTAAAAGCTTTAACAGGTAAAAAGGCTTAACTTGAGCTGATGTTACGAACAATTTAAATTCATTTTTTTATTTTTTGCATATTCATATCCAACTTGATAAACTGAAAATGATATGTAACGGAAGAAATATCCCTCAATCACTGTTGATTTCACGACATACATGTTATTTATTATATTTCTGTCTATGGCAAAAAACAACAACCCTGATTATCGCTTCAATAAATTAGATATTTTTCTGAGCTTTGGAGGCTATTTGTCTCGAGACCACAACAGTAAAAAGTGGAAAAACAAAATGACCTCCTTAGTCTTACCTGAATGTTTCCTAGTAATCTTTTGCTTCAGAACTTTGCTCTGCGTTGCTTTACAAAATAAACTACCAGTCGTTTCTTCCAGGACCTATTTATTTATTAAACAATACCTCAGAGTCTCATGTCGTGGAATTCCATTTTTGTCGCATAATAGTGACAAGTGTAAAACGCGACAGAGAATTGTGTAAACAATATTAAATCAGCGGCAAAATTAATGGCATCTCCCCTCCGAATCGATTGTCCTGCTCCAAAAATTGCATATATTTCACGAAACCATCTATGGTAGCTTAAGTGAATTGTTAGTAAAGGTCGACTTTAAAACCAATAAATATTTGACAAAGTTTGTTTAAACAAGTCAGTGGTGTTTCTCTGTGTTGGTTGCAGAGCTCTGAAAGTTAAGCCACAAGTAAAATGATCATCAAAACGGGCAGGTGGCAAAATAAAATCTTATATTTGATTGGCTTAAAATAATTTCCTTGATGATAAATTTCGCGCGGAAGAGAGAATAACTGTTTCTCCCAGAATACCCACAGATTTAAAGAAAAAACTGAGATTGGAAGCCCATGATGGTGGTTTTAGGTTCCGCTGTGAATTTTAAAAGGATTCCAGGATTCCCAAAATATAAATTATAAGGTGATAACTCTGACCTGATCGAATAACTTTGCATCTGTGTCACATCATTTTCAATTAACTTTCTCAGTTTTTCTCCTTACCATTTCTTGGCTTCATTTATCAGACGATTCATGCCTCTTAAAAGTGAATGGACATCTTTTATTAGCCGTAGGGAATGAAGATGAAGGTTTCTGCTAAGGAAAGAATTAGTCTAATTCTGACTTAGGCCGTGTATCAGCGATTCTTGTGATTGTCAAATAGCGTTATTCTTGTTAATTAAAGCCTTGTTTAATTTCCAGGTTCGAAGTCTCTAATTAGTGTTATAAATGAAAGTTAGGTATTTTCTAAATGAATACTGTTTGTACCGATGATTTTTGTTGTAGATAACGTGGCTCGTTGGGATAACTATTACTTAAATACAATCATGATACTTTTTAAAGTAAATTGACCACTCCAGAAAATACCACAACATACTATAATGCTCTTTGTTTGTCACCCCAAAAATTTGAATAAGCACTGTTTACAGTTTCTCTTGGGGTCATTTTAACTCCCAAGAGAAACTGAAAACAATGCTTGCGCAAAATTTTGGGATGACAAACGAAGAGCATTATGGTATATTATGATATTTTCTGGAGCGGTCAATTATACGGATGAATGAGTCGAATAAAGGTAAAAGTTCATTTTATACTTTCTGTTTTTCTCCAAAGACCCCTCCGAAGAATTACCTCATGGTTTGCTTTACATAAATAGCTGTCGCTAGGAAAGCAACATAAAAAGTTTTTTTGTATTTTCCTGTCCGAAACCGCGACAGAAAACCGTCAAAAACCGTTAAACTAAAAAATTCAAATACATACGATTGTTGGGAATACTGATTTCTGTCATCCTGCAAAGTTTTAGCCTATACAAATTTCAACACTACTAGTTTGGAAGAGACCATTGTTTACATGATGTTTGCCTGGCGAGTCTGCCCTTACGAGTCTGCAAAAGGACATATTTTATGGCTGCGTAGAAAATAAGAAAACTTTCTGATTTAGGGAGATGCACTTTTCCAAACTAGGTATGCAAAAGGGGTTCCATTTCTCAATAGGGTGAAAGGTAGGTAAAAGGGGGAGAGATTGGACCTCAGGGCGGAGTGTCATCGAATAAAACGTTGTTGAATACCTCTTCCCCCGAGCAGTCAGCCGAACCGGTCGTTTGAAATATTGAGAGTTTTCACAAAACCCCATCACTTTCATGCTTATTGTTTATGAATATACTGATATGCTGAACAATTCTGATTAAAAGCGAACCAGTTTTTTCGACATGGCGAAGCCGATGATACCTGTTACTAATCCTTACCAAGCGTCTATCATGGATAGGAGTCCGCCTTTAACCTTCCATGATAAGTCGCAAATTTATTAAACAAAGGCGCTCAGACCGTCTGACTTTTTAAGGTGTCCTAAAGAGGTGTTCGTTAAGAGGGAATTAAATGTATTTACTGAATGTGTTCAAATTCCGAAAAGTGAACACCAGCTACAAAAACATTCAGCCTAAAGCGAATCTGGGCAAGCAAGGATAGGATAGGTCGCGATAGGAATAACGAAGATTTTCCGATAATGTACAGAATATCACGACAATTTCCCGAGTCGATAAAAGAATTTCAGAACTGCATCGGAGGATAATATAAAGAAAGGCCCTGTTTCTTTTCTTTTTTTCCCCTCACATACACACATAATATTATCATTGCTGCTGTTAAAGAAACAACCACTAGGTTCGTACAATGTTATATGTAAATATTTGAACAGAGAAAAATAATGTTTACTGAATAAGACCTGATAGTAAAAAGAAACCTTTATGAAGTGCTTCCTAATATAAATAAACGAAAAATGGCTGTCACTTTCCCTCTTTTGAAAGGTGTTTTTGAGAGTTTGTTTAATTGTCATGGCAATCTGACCTTTTACGGAAGTATGCGTTGGAGGCGATTTAAAAAAGAGGTAAGGAAATGGCGGAATAATGCGCCATTATGTGGCATCCGCCACTCAGACTGTTAAATCCGAAGAAAAGGTGGCGGGAGGGGGAGGCGGGCGGGGAGGAGGAATCTTGTGTGAAATGGACAGGGGAGGCAGATCTGGGCGGCGCTCAGTTTATATTTGTGTCCGAAAGGCGACTATATACTGATATGCAAATAATTCCCAGAACCCATCAATAGCTGTAGTGAAAATGTTGAGTTTTAGTTTCAAATTTATTGACAAATTTAGTACCTTTACATGTAAAACATCATGACGAATTATGGCGGATTTCTCTTTAAAAAAAAAATTAAGGTACATAGAAAATCTTTGACATTTTATTGAAAATGTTTTTTTAATAAGAAAAAGAGAAAATCATATTCGAACCTGAGCCTTTCGTACGCTAGTCTTTCTACCTTGAAGCGACACTACCACACCGACCCCCCAAAACGAGAAAATTGAAGTAAGTATTATATATGCTAATTAACTTTCCTTCACAATTGATGTATCTACACCAAGTGACCCTCGCCATTTCCATAACTTTTAGATTAAATTCAACTTGGGAACACTAATGTTAAATGAGACTAGGTATGTAAGAATGAACTTTTTGCCTCATTGCAACGTAATTCAGAGTAACTCTATCTAATACATCTACCATGACTAAAGGCCTGGTTGACCGGCCGCATGCACCGCACTCTAGGCGATACCTGTATCGGTAAAAGGATTGGCTTACCGTCTGACGATCATCTGACACCAAAATAATTATGCATTTTGCGAAATGACGAGCATGCTGTCCTTAATGTGGAAGCCCCCCCCTTCCCCCCCCCCCCCCCTCCTCACCACCTTTCCCTGCCGGTTTTAAATGAGATTTCTGTGAAATCCAATCGGACGTATCATTAATTAACGAAACAATTTAAGCTGCTTAAGGAAATGAAATGTTTCATAATTCACGATATTCAGATTATAGTTTTTAGCAGAACTGCGTTTCAGGTAAACATTATGTCATCACTTTCACCTCTTCAATTTTTGGCAATTAATCTGAAACTAGAAACCAAAAACATAAAAGCAATCATTTCAGTCTTCTTTTTACTACTTTGTAGCTCCGACACAGGTCTAATTAATCATTACGGAAGTCTTTCTTAAGAATTTAATAAAAAATTAAAGTATTGTTAAATAGATCTTTTAGGCCATTAATGACATTAACTATATTTTTAATATTTGTCAGGGTTTTTATTAACAAAAGAGAGCTTAACAAAAACAACAGGTTTGTTCTAAAAGGAAAATTCATTAACACAGTTTATTCAGCTAATTAAACTCCGATTTAAAAGGAAATGATTATACGACTTTGGGGCTGTCAAAATTGTCTTAAGTCTTATTCGACCGATATTACTTTCTGCAACGACAAATTAGATCAGTCATTTTCAAGTCCTTAAGAGAGCGTTAGTGAAAATTACATTCTCACAAGTACACTCATTCACGAGAAGGTATTAACATGAGCGCTCGTCTTCTTTTTATTTTTGTTGTGTTGCTGTTTGCAGTTGCGGTTCTAGATGTGTTCGCTGGATTTATCAAGGTTTGCCTGCCGATTTTTGTGATTTTTTCTAGTTTCCTGTATTCTTGTGCCATGTGAGTGATTCCTTTCTTTTGGGTACTAGGGCCACATTGAATTACAATGAAACAAAAAGGCATATAATTTGTCTGCCCTGGCAATACATATCCTTTACCTCTGATATAGCTTTTTGACTAAAAACAAAGAATGCACTTTTTTTATTTTCCAAAGAAGAAAAAGCAATATCCACCTACTCTCTTTTGTCCAATTATCAACAAAGATCATTTGGTAACACCGAACAATACATCATCTTCATTTCACAGAATGTATTGCTTCTATTTATTTGCCACTATCTGAGTCTAAAGGATAATGGATGTACCAAGGAATTATACTGAAAAGGCGGGAAAATTTTTGAACATAGGATTAAAAAGCATTTTTAAAAGCCTTTTTAAAATATTTCTCTCTAATATGATCTGATTATGATCATGAGGATCACGATTGGCTAATATAAATGTAAACACGATTTGGAGAAAAAAGAAAAAAGCCTTACAAGGGAAACTGACTTGTTGTAAGTGTCACAAGTTTGTTTTACAATACTTGCGCCATATTCTTTATTATTAGATTAAAATCAGGTATACTGGTTTCTAAACATCACTGCTTTTAAAAGTCAGGAAAAGTTTTTCGCAATATAGTGTGAATATTTATCGATAGAGTAGTGATCAATCGACAATGACTACTGTGACTAATGTGTTACTTTTGTGAAAAAATTTACTTTTTCAGTTCGTCCCTCAGTGATTTGACAAGAAGCGTAAACTACTTGATGTAATCTTTTTACTTCACCTAAAAAACGCACACAGTTAGAAAATTCAGCCTTATTTTCTGTCTTTAATCAATAAACGGTTAATTAAATTCATTTGAATATCAAATGGGACTGAAAAAAAGAGCCTCATCGACACTGTAAATCTTAGCTTGCTTTCTGAAGGTTTCAAAAACGATATGGTACATCTTGCACGATATTTGATTGGCGTAAGTCTTATACTTGCAATAATACTCAGTTTTTCAACATGGATTAATCGCCAGCAAAGACGCGTGAACTGTAGTCGGATTGCCTCAAAGGTCTGTCCGTTATTATCTGCGCGCGTAAATCAACATTCTGTACGGTATCTGATAATTCATTGTTCACTAACGACCACTAACTTTTTCAATCAAATCTAACACTCAACTTTCATTTTGTGTAATATGCAAATGATCGTTAAATAGGGTTGTTTTCTAGGAAATTTGTTAAACAAGAAGTATGCATTAACAGACTCCGCGATATGGTCATTATCTCACTCATACGCAGTTATCACACAGGCAATAGCAGCTATTAAAGGAGATGTCTCTGACTGGAAGTGTCTGTGACCATTTCTCCCGGGATTATGCCATTCTGAGAAGTCCTACAAGGATGAAACAGCTGTCCATGGCTACTGGTGTTCAGTTGATATGGCATTGCGCATGCGATAGGTACCTGCGGTACTGCGGAGTTTGGTGTTAATTGTGTTTACATCTAGTGATGTTATTTGATCGTAAAACTGCTTAAATACCAAATAGCGAAAGGGGAGGGATGGTGTTTTTTTACGAGGGGGTATTTTAAAACGGGTCGCTTATTAGAGACGTACCCTCTACAGTACCTTCTACTCTGACTGTTTTCTTACTTTTCTTTGTAGGTTCGAAAGAAGAGATTTGAAAGTAAGTAAAAACATATCATTCTAAAGTAGTAACTTGCTCCCGGACCTACATTACCCTAGAATTTTTCCTAATAATCTTATTACATAGATGTTGCGGAATCTTCCACTGCGTTTGGAATATCTCAGCGTTCGCTAGTTCAATAAACAATCAGGACTGCACGCGGTATCTTTCACTTTCTTCGCTTTGCGTTCGTTCATTCGTACATCACAATCGTTCTTAACATTCTACCCAAGATTACGATGCTCACTAGTTTTATTGCTACCACAAGTAAACGCCTTGACTGCGTATGTCCGGCCGCAAACCGAACTTGGCAAAAGCTCACTATTATTTCTTGTGATCTAGCGCATGAGCGTGAAACCTATTTCCTTAATATATCCCACATAATCATAACAATAACAAAATTGTCAAATGTGATTGGCTATCAACTGCCCTGATTTCAGCCTTAATTGGACAGTTTAATAGGACAGTACCCGTCATGCCTAAGTAATTAGACAGTACTCGCCATCACGCGCGCGCTTAAATGGCTTTTTTTTTTTCGCTGCTAGCAAAACAAAATTTTGAATTTCTTGTGTTTTGATTTAAAAAATAGCCTATAATATCACAAATTTTGTTAAAGTTATGATTAATTGGTAACAGAACTTTGTGTCGTCCAATTCGGTCTGTAATCAAACTCGGAATTAAACAAATCGGACTCCCGCTACGCGGTCGTCCGATTTTGTTAATCACTCGTATGATTACAGACCGAATTGGACTCCACTCAGTCCTGTTACCATTACTTATCGACCCTTTTATTATTTACCGCGCATAAACCGATTACAATCAAAACCACAAAGACTGATAAAAACAAACCGAGTCAATTCTATTATTCGTCATAGGATGTGGTTGTACGCCTAAGACAATTTTCTACTTGCAAGGCAAACTCAACTGCTCAACAATTGCGAAAAATGATACTAATAATAGAATAAATTTTCGAGACACTTAAATTTCACTATTTGATGGTTCACATATTTCGCGGCATTTAAATTTCGCGATTTTACAACAATTCTGGATTGAGAGTCACTTTAATTTCACGATCTTCAGCAAAACACAATACTCTTAATTTTTTAATATTCATTGCAAGAAGAAACAAAATTCCACAGGCATAAAATTTTCTCAACACTTTACTTTCGCGATTTTTTTGAAATCGCGAAATTAAAGTGTCGCGAACATAACGTGACGTGAAAGTGAAGTGAAAGAAAAAACTGGGAGTAGATAATACTTGTGAAGCTTATTTAGAGTAGATATCGTGGACAATACCTGGCGGTGCATCATTTTCTTAGGTTTCACATGATAACAAATGCAGATGAAGTCGTTTTATTTGATTAAGTAACGGGAACATTTCATGACGACGCGACGTTAAGACAAATCACAGTCTGTTCTGATTAGTAAAATCAAGGAAGATAATCTAATGAACTGAAAACTGAGTGAATAGAACTACGTCCGCATGGCCAAGGACTGTTGTGGCAATAGCCTCATTACTAGGGATTAATTTTCATGCATTGCTACGTAAAGTGTCTGTTGTTTTGAATACTGTTGCGATCAACTAAAACGGTCGTTAGACGACACTAATTTTGTGAATCGCCATATAAATTTAATAGTGTGTTGAAAAAGGAAACAAATTAGATTTTTCATAAGGAGTTTCTCTTCAAAATCACCTTGAGCTTTAGTTTTCCTTGGACAAAGTCTGTTGCTATGGCTACGGATATCACAAGTGACATGAATTAAAGCCCTTGGAACAAGGTTGCCACATGCAGCGAAACAGTTAATTGTTTGTGTAACATTTTACACTGTCATTGAAAAATACTTTGAAAATTTGTAAGATTATGTATATAATTTGAATTTTCAGTAAATTTTAGGATGGACGGCATGATGTGGGCATCCAACCACAAACACACACGCACCCCCCGACCCCTCTTCCACCCCTAAGTAACCATGCGTCATGCGTCATAACCTTAACGAAAATGAAAGCAAATTATCCCAAATAGCACACAATGGCATTAAATGTAATGAAAATAAAGCTTTCTGGAGCAAAACAAACAAAAGCTTAATATTGCAACCGATCGGGTTAGAATGCGGACATAGGAATAGTAAACTTGATCAGGTAACGACTTAAGGATATCGAACTACAAAGATGGCTAAGTGAGGTAAATAACGACACCAGAAAAGATGCTAACCAAAGCAACAAAATGATCATGAGAACCTACCGGGTATTCAAAACGATAGACAATTACAAATGTGAAGATTACCTTCATCAGGTCACCAATACGCGATACAGAATAGCTCTAACAAAATTTCGACTAAGCAGCCACAAATTATCCGAGACTGTTTAAGAAACCTGAAGAATTAATTTGCCTAATTTGTAAAATGGAAATGGAGGACGAATACTATTTTCTAAATATATACCCTGCTTACGAGGGGAAAAGATGTTCGTTACTAGATTATTTGGAAAAAGAATATAGAATAAAAATAAGCAGAATGTCACCTAACAAAATATTCATGTTTCTAACCCCCCTAGTGGAAAATGCTAAAAAAACAAAAAATTAATAGCAAAACATATATTCGAATACTGTGGAAAAAGAAAAGAGGAAGACGGCAAAAAGTAAATACTCTGGGAATTAATTAATAACTTATTAGCCATATATGGTTAGGATTTTTCTTGTTTGTAATTTTAGTCCTTTGGAAATAGTTGACATACTATTTGTTGTATAAGTGACTCCAAATAAACACATGTATGTATGCATGTGTGTATGTATGTATGTAGATCAAAAAATGCTGTGAAGGGGAAAGGAGAAGGAAAAATTTCTTATTTCTTCCTCGATGAAAGATTAATTCTTATAAATTGATGTTTGTCTATTGAATGTAGATAACACTTGTACGGAAAAAGTGATGAGCCGAGAGCCCGTGTGCAAACAGTTGATATGTCCTGACAACGTTGGCAGACAAATGAGGTTAACATTTTGCAAAAAAATACCAAAATTTTGTCCAAAGATTCAAAAGGATCCATCAGCCGTCTGCTGCCCTTCAAAATGCGGTAATATCTCTAATGTGTAAATCTTCATAATGAGGTTCAATACCAGGCCTTTTGCAACTAGTATTTCACGTGGGACAAAAAACCCGCGCCATGATGAAGAACAATGAAAGCACTGGGACAAGATAAACAAAGAGCTCACTTTGTTTGTTTTCTCCTAGTGCGTCTTTTACTCTCCAATTTGGCAGTTTTGTACCAAGTGAATGACTAGCTAAGTTGCAGATCGCCTGCTTATTTAAAGGTTCGAGCCTGAACTCATTCTACTACCGGAAATGTTGAGATAGCAGATGTATTGCACTTGAGCAAATAAAGTTCATCTTATTTATCTTTATCTATAAATAATTGCTTTAACAGTTATGAATAATTCAATTTAGAATTCGGCGTGGCCACTGAATAGGAGCACTGAAGACCCATTTATACGGGGTTACCCTCGACCTAAGGAAATATATTTAAAAATTCCTGTCAGTAGACTAAGACGCGTGTACAACGGTGTCTATTGTTTTAAACTCAAATTCAGGCACCTTCTCAGCTCGCCGGTATTTGTGAATATTTTACTTCAGTTCGAGGCTAACCCCGTACAAATAAAAATTCGACGTTTTTATTCTGCTGCCACGACGAATTCGAATCTGACTAGACTATACGCTCTTCTCACATATGGTAATATGCCCGTCTAACGAGCAAATGCCCATTTTTAAGAAAACTTTAAGTTTATGCTTTTGCAGCAGACTAATCGTAAAGTTTCCTATTTTTACTCAAAAACGAGGTTAGACGGGCATATTACCATACGTGAGAAGAGCGTATTGCTCCGCTGATTTTTTTCCCCATTATCACACTTAATCAATCATCATTTGAGCATGCCATTTGTTTTATTGTTTATTTTTTTGCCGAGTTGGGAACCAAGAGTTGTTCACTCATGCAAGAGGACTGAATCCAAAATGCTAAGGTGGCCCGCAAGAGGACTTGCTGCAAATGAGATAAAGTTGCTGCAAATTAAATTAAGCTGCATACTTTCCCGTCACTTAATTTGCAGCAACTATTTTTTATTTGCAGCAGCTTAAGTTAGTTTACAGCAACTTTATTTTTTTTTTTGCGTCAACTTTTTTATTTGCAGCATATCCGCTGTGGGCCACCATAAAATTTCTACCAAAAAAAAGACTGCAGTTCTACAGCTTTGTTGAATTCTCTCTTTAATTGTTTGCTTGATGTTTTACAGTTTGTGAAGACAGAAACGGCATAAAGTATTCTCCTGGTGAGAGCTTTAACGTCGATGATGGTAGAAACCCGCGCCACAAATGCAAATGTGGAAAAGACGGAGTACCTGAATGCCACGAATACTATATAAGTAAATATTGGCTCGCTTTATTTCCAGTGTTGTTGTCATTGCTTGTCGCCAGGATGGTCCGCAGGTTCAGAGATCTAAATAGTACAAAAAGAACAAATAATATTGCTGACTTATGACATAAATCACACAATGATGGTTTTGTTGCTAAAAATTCGATTACTTCTACTTGTGGCTCGTTTTGTAGCATTGTAAACTGAAGCAGCAGTATAGTTATTACTGTTGTTGCTGATGTTGATCTCAATAGCGTTTAATAGTTTGGTAGGGGTGGAAGGAGGAGGTGATGGAGCGGTAAATGTGTTCGCTCCCACTCCCCGATAAAACTTCTAGCAGCAGAAGCTAAATGTATAAACAAAAATTGGGACAGTCTTCAATTAAGCTAGTTAATTCAACTGATTTATTCATATTTTTCATGCTGAACCTAATAGGCAACCTGCTTACTCAATACTTTTTTCTTCATTTTGACTGCTTAAATTAGTGTCAGCTTTTTGCATTTCGTTAACTAATTGGTAATAAAATGTAGCCTCGTACACCTCGGCCGGCTACTGATTACTCACTGAAATCGTCTCCGTCCTATATCTTTTTCTTATCGCAATTATTTTCTAGTTTATCCAAACTACTAACGTGATAAGGCTGCGAGTTATAAGTTGTAAGCACATTTAGACTTCAAAAAGCAAGTTTCTAGCTGTAAAACTTACTTTTAACTCCCTTCATTTTTTAGTTCCACCAAAAGTACCCAGACCTCCACCAGTATTTCCTCCTCCACCAAACTTTCCTCCTCCACCACATGATGAGGTAGGTGTCGTCTGACGTCATTAGTTAATCAACAGCTACCACGCACAAAGATTTATATTTGTAATTAGAGTCGTCACCCTGCTAGCAGAGCCTTTCATTCACTTGCTTGATTTAGGCGTACTCCAGAAAGACTTCGTTGAGCATGTGCTGCTTGTTACAAGGACACAGGTTTGAACCAAGCAAAGCTTAAAACTGTGCGCTTAGTACACGGATTTCCGCTCTCAGAAAGGGAGTTTGACGAGAGAAAACAAGATTGACTAGTTCGGGCTTCGGCAATTTCAAAGGCTTGACGTGATTCAAGCAGGGTCTTCTTTTTCTCTTTTTTTCTCATGAAGAGAAAAGAAAGCTCTTATCGCAGGGTGGAGAGTCATACGTAACTGACAGGTTTTGGCTTTTCAAAGTGCTGCGTTCAACACGTCCATCTTGTTACACTGTTCGCAAAAGGCGAACTTCGAACTTTTCAACTTTAAACAGCTAACAAATCACGTTATTCTGCAAAGGGTTCAATAATTTTTCTATCATTGAATTATTGTGCTCTTTTGTTTCTTTATGTTTTTTCATTTATGGTCGTTGTACCATCATGCCACCGATATAAAGATATATTGTTGTTAGTAAATAATTCTTAGCTAATAAATGCATCAATTTTCCAAAAAAAAAAAAAAAGAAAAAGAAGTCGTTTACACCATACACTTACGATTTGAGCATTGTTTGTGGCGGAACAACTTTCATCTTTTTTGCGTAGGAGCAGAACGTTTTCCCAGCGTAGGCAAATATCGGATTATATTGTGATTAAGTGGTTTGTTAGCCACTTCAGAAAAAGTAATTTGAATAGTCATGGAGTTTATGAGACACTTGATATTTTTAATACCATATCGGTGAAGTGCAACGTTACCTCGAACCCAGATCTCACTCTGGCCGTGGGAGATTTGGGCAAGAGTTCACCGTTTATTTGCGTTTGAGTTCGGCACTTGTGGAAACATCAGGGTCGGCTAGTGGGATAGTGATACCCCAATACACACCCTTCCCTTCCTTCAAATTTTTGAGCAGTTTTTAGCGAGGTGGTTGTGTCGCTTGTGGTGGCTGCGGGTGGTTGTGTTGATTGTGGTGGTTGTTATAGCCGAAATGATTGCTAAATCGAGCTGGGGCTAACTGGAAAATACCGTATTTATTCGAATGATTGACTTCTGTATACTGCATACCCCAAACCCCGACTGTTTCTGATACATATCATTTGAAAAATAACCTTCTCCTGAGGTTTATTACTGTTGCCTGTTTTTTGACATATAATGTAAAAAATATCTTTTAAATCTTCACTTGTTTTCTTTGCTTTTTTATCAGTTTAGGTCACAACTCATTTACAATGTTTTCTCTCTTTTAGGAGCAAACCGATTGACATTTTAGCAAGATACAAAACTTTTTCTGATCCAGAGAAAATCGCTTTTAGTTCAACCATAGTTAAAGTGGCTAGTTAAAGAAGACCTGTAACACATCTTCACGCCAATTAATCCTTTGAAAATGAATATGAAATGAATAAAAAAGTATGTTACAAAGTGCCTGTGAAGAGTGTTATCTAATTACTTTATTGAGCATAATATTCTGACAAGATCGTTACGCGTTGGGCATTCCATTTCCCCATAATCCATCCATCCGTTAATCCATCCTTTCATTTAGTCAGACACTCATTCGTCTCTCTCTACGTCCGTCCGTCCGTCCGTCCATCTATCAATCCATTCAATGACGCTTCGTTACTAATTTACCGCTTACTAATTTCGGTTTCTCTGGTTTAACATGTTTTGAAGCATATTTGCAAGTAGAACGAGGACTGGCGTCCTAAATAGGATACTGATTCTAAGAAATGAATGTTTTCCCTTGTCTTTCCGCGTACTTAAATTTCTATTTTTCTGATGACAATTTCCAAATAATACATCATAACTTTCGTATTACTACTAGAATCTAGTCCAATACCCCAAAAAAATGATTAGAGCTTCTAGCTAGTCTTCTCGGGTACATATAACCACGAAAATATGTGGGCTTTGTGTAAAACACTTTCACTGATCTTATGTTTGTATGGAACGCCCGGGGAGGAGGGGAGTACTCCGGATTTCATGTGACGGGGATGATCGGAATTTTTTTTTTTGGTTTGAAATTTTCGATTCCGGAATTTTTTAGGATATTTTTTTTATGGATTAAATTAAGTAGGTATTTCTTTGGGTATTCAGAACAATCTGAAGATTCGTGGTTATCGTAGTGCCCGCGTAACCCAGCCGCGTACTTCAACCAAACTTGTTTTCCTTTCTGGAGATTTTTAAGGCTCGGAAATTCGGCGTGGGATTTATTTGGGGTTAATTTTTAGTCGAGGGATTTTTTTTCAGTTTTGATTTTAGCCTCCATTCGATCATCCCCGTCACTTGAAATCCGGCTTGCCCCTGGGATGGGACGTACAAAAAAACGATAGGAAAATGTAAAATTGATAGTGAAGTTACATTTGGCAATTCGTAACGACGACCGGTGAGTACAACATGTATGTCTGAAATCTTAAAACGATTTTGTGTTTCTTTATTGATGTCAGACAGACAAAAAAAGGAGAATTTTTCACAGGCCGCACATTCAACGTACATTATGCAAGCGGATTAAGAGCAAATGTTACCATCGGCCAAACATTCCATGCCAACAGGAAACATAAATTCAGCCCATATTCTCAGCTTAGGCAGACCTTGATGTAAAACACTGAAAACAAAACAATGACTGATTCGTTTGGCTAAATATCGATTGGTATTCGAGAAAATCGATAATAATCGAGTCCTTTGAATATACTGCGTTTACAGCTAACACAACAAACAACAACAAACTTTATTATTAAACAGGTAATATTACCGAAGCATTGCCCGCAGCCCGCTACAGGTTAAGGCACCATTACCGAGAAGACCTGGGGACGAGGTTGAGTTATTTTGGTTGTGAAAACAAAAATGGCGGAGACTTCACTCGTTTCAAGAGTAAGAACTACAGCTGGAACTAGGCAGAATAATGGCTAAAAACATAGCAAAAACAGCAAGAAGACAACCCGTAGGGCGACATCTGCTATTTGGAGAATATTTGCGGAGCTCGACAAACCTGTAAACGTACACTATCGAAGATGAACTTAACATCGATGCAAGTAAGGATGTTTTAGCTATGTTTTAAAACTAGGAATTACTTTGAATGAATAATGAAGCAATTAAGGAATTCGGCTTTCGTAGGATATGAAGCATCAAGCAGGTCTCGGAGGGTGTTATCCACCGAGGCCGAATTCTTCATATCCCACTCAGCCTCATTCATTCATTGCTAAAAATAGTTTGATCATAATATAAAAAGTTCAAGGGTAAAAGGTTGGCTTCAATGAAGAGAGGTATTGCGTGATCGCGTCCCTCGGAGAAGTTTATTATCCGAAGAGCAAAAATTAAATTAATAAGGCATGGGTCAAAAGCTATCTATATTCGTAACTATTTATCGTTAAGCTGTAAATTGTGTGTAACATGCGATTTCTCGAAAAGCAAGAGCCATAATAGGACAGAGAGGGACTCTCAGGGCGTTGGCCGGGATATCTTAATTTTTAGAACTATGCGGACCACGCGGAAACAGTTTCCGGTAAACTGATTTACTTTCGGAAGACTCACTTTCACGATTCAGCGCGCCAAAGCAAGGCGGCGTCAACAAATAAAAAAAAATGGCGGCACAAGTGGAGGAACGATGTGGAGTTGATAAATTGGCCTTCTTCAACAGAGAACCTACCCGTAGAAACTGCTTAAAACTTCAACACAAAAGGGTCCTTTACAAGCAACGGTGGAAATCGGTTAAAGCGACCGCGTGACCATCGTTTTTGTTTGAACAGCTGGGAAGAGGACAAGTAGCATTGCGGCCCGAATAAGCGTTATGCATCAGTCAATTCCACCTGCGCCCAGGCCCCCCCGGGAATTAGCATTTTTTTTGCCTTGGATGGCAAATTCCCGGGGGTGGGGACTCTTGAGCTGGCAAATCTTCCGGGGTGGGGAACAAAAAAGAGGGCAAATGCCCCGTCCTCCGTCAACAATGCAACATTTTTTATTGATCGCACAGTCCAATAGTGCCATTTTAAAATGCGATTTTTTGTTTCAATTAACGTCTTCCTTTGCAATAGCGCTAGGATTCTAATTAAGACTTCACGCCGCAACGACATGCGCCAGTTTATGGTTTTAGTATTGATATAAAATTATTGACATTAAAATTAATAGAGCGCTGTAAAGTTATATGTTATGAATAGATTTATAAATATGAAAGGGTGTTCTTCAAATAATATCAACAGAAATTTGATTCAATTACCCAAAAACGTTGATTTACATCGATAGCTCCAATTTCGCTATGTAATTCTGGCTTGATAAGCAATGAAGAAATGCATACATACATGTAAAATCGAGAACATGCCTTTACAACCCTCTACAATTTATTCGTGTCCTTGACAGATGAGCCAATCTGCTTTTTTCCCAGTAAAACCTTCTGTGTAGTTATATTCTGATAGGAAACCGCGTGCGTGTCAAAAGCTCGGGAATGGCCGGGGGGTTGGCAAATGCCCGGCCCCCTGGCAGTGCAAAATTTGCAAATGCCCCACCCCCGGGACTGACAAGACGGGCAAATGCTCCGCAGTAGCAAGGGGATGGGGGGGGGGGGGGGGGGGGGGGGGGGGG